GGAGCCAGCCCGGCCTCAGGTAACGGCCCTTCCCCGGGCCTGGCCTTTGTTTGAAGGGCTTCCGAGAACCAGCCCCGTGTTCCCACTGCTTTGAGAGGGGTCCCGGAGGAAGGCTCGGGAATGAACCGGGTGTTCCCGGCGAGAGGATCCGGGCCCTTCTCCCGCGAGTGTGTCCAGAGTGCACGGGCTGAGCCATGGAATGGAGAACGTGGTTCTCCGAGAGGGTGCTGGTAACAACAGTTAGGTTCATTTTCCTGTTGGAGTTAGATGGAACGGATGGAAATGGAAGCACAGCAAGACACAGAGGTAGCAAACCAGCTGGCTCTGTTGTGGTGCTGGCAACGGTTCCTGGCTGGGCTCCCGTTCGGTATTGCCATCGTTATCCCACTGCGTTTTGGGCCAAGCACTGGTGAGGCTGCACCTCGGATCCTGTGTCAGTTCTGGGCCCCTCACTGCAAGAGAGACATTGAGGTGCTGGAGCGGGGCCAGAGAAGGGCACCGGAGCTGGAGCAGGGCCTGGAGCACAAGTGTGATGGGGAAGGGCTGAGGGACCTGGGGGTTTAGTGTGGAGAAGAGAAGGCTCAGGGGGGACCTGATCGCTCTCTGCAACTGCCTGGCAGGAGGATGGAGCCAGGAGGGGGCTGGTCTCTGCTCCCAAGGAACAAGGGATGGGACAAGAGGAACCGGCCTCAAGCTGCCCCAGGGCAGGTTTAGCTGGAGCTGAGGAACAATTCCTTGCCCAGAGGGTGCTCAGGCATTGGAACAGGCTGCCCCGGGGAGGGCTGGAGTCACCCTCCCTGCCAGTGTTCACACCCCGGGTAGACGAGGCCTCAGTGCCAGGGGTTAGTGGTGGCCTTGGCAGGGCTGGGAACAGTTGGACCTGATGAGCTTAAAGGTCTTTTCCAACCCCGCTGATTCTGTGATTCTAATGCTGCTCCTTTGGCTCCTGTGAACGCAGGAGAATTACTGTAGGAACCAGAGTGAATTTCGGGTCCTTGTTTGATCTGGTATTTGAACCCATAGTGTTTAGTAGTTGGTGTTTAGTAGTTCTTTTAATGCCATGAGAGTAAGTAGTCTTCTTGCACATATCTTTAACTCCGTTTCGTCACTCCAAGGCCTCAGCATCTGTCTGGATTAGAGATCATTCGAGATCTATGTGAGGGGAAGCTGGAAGGCGGAGAAATTGGCTCAACAGAAATAACCTTCACTCCTGGGAAGATCAAAGGTGGAACCCACATCGCAGATACAAAAACAGCAGGGTATGTCTCTGTACGTGGATAATGACCGATCAGTGCCTGCTCTGAACTGCTTTTGGTGGCTCTCAAATTATGACAGAAGACATTTTGGTAACTTTAAAATGATCACGAAAGAGCAGGGGAAAAAAACCCCCAACTTTAGTACATGAGTATGAGCCAAAATCTGTGCTGCCTGAGCCAGATATATGTGACCAAAGAAGGCCAGGATATGTATGAATAAAGTACATACCAGTGTAATAGCTTTAGAATTTCAATTGATATGTAAGTTGAACGCTTGGTTAATGTTAAGCAAAAAACAGCTGCCCATGTATCTAAAACTTTATCCATTCTTTTCTCACGTTAGTACATGACACATCAGGTCAAATGCATCAAATCAGTATCTCAAATCTTTGAGCTCTGAAATAATCACCGTAGAATAAAGCAAATGTTGGGATTTTACTTACACATGTAATGATACTATATGGGATACAAGGGAACTGGGAACATATTCTGTCCATGGTTCTCTGTGCCTGTGGTTCTCCTCTATTTCAGTATTGGGCTCTTTGTTCTTGGAATCTGTTGAAACCCAGAGTAAATGGGTTTAGCTATGGAAGGTGAACAGTTGTTTGGAAGCATAAGCCGGGTTAGGCATAAGTTAAAGTTCCCTTTAAGTTAAGAGAAATATTTTTGGGAGCTGCAATTGTATAAACCACCAAGTTGATGCCTTGTACTTAACAAGAAAGGTTTAAGTAAACGACAGTGCAGCAGAATTTGTAACTAAGCAGGAGAAGAAGGAAAAAGAAACAAAAAGAAACAGTAAAGTTCATAAATATTTGGAAGTTACTTAAGGAAACAAAGCCATGTTTTCTTCAGTGGTGATTACTGTTTTCACAGTTCAAACTGATGTTTGAAACCCCTGTGAGATAATTGTTTGGTTTTGCTGAACAAAATGCCTTTGGGAAAATTCCTTTTGGAAGTTTTTTATTATCTATGAAATGTGGAGAGATTCAATGGCAGGGGAGTCTTGTATCTAAAAGCAGATTTTCTACACCCCTGGATTTTCTTGTGCAGAAGCATGACCAACATCTAAGCAATTTTGTAGTTCTCTAAGTATTTTGTTACTAAATAAGTATTCCAATGTTAAAACTGCTGCCTAAGCCTTTTCTGGTTTTGCAGCCTGCTAGCTAAGCCTGTCGTTTTCACAGTCCCATCACTGAGTAAGCTACATGACTTTTATTTCAGACAGGAATATTAAAGACATGATTATTGTGAAACAAAAGCCTTCATGTTTAGGCTTGGTAATGACATAAGGTTTCAAGTTAGTGTTTTTTGAGATTAATAAGCTTATAGATAATGTTGCAAATCAAATACTCATGTAAAGGCTCTGGAAAAATCCTTTGCCTTTGATATTTTGTGGATTATGTCTGCACAACATTTAACTGTCCTGTGATTGTTTCTAGGAGTGTGTGTCTCCTGATGCAGGTAGCAATGCCCTGTGTGCTGTTTGCTGCTTCTCCATCAGAACTTCATTTAAAAGGTGGGACTAATGCTGAGATGGCTCCTCAGATAGACTACACAGTCATGGTAGGGAAAAGTTTCTTTGGCTTGGTGCATCTTTCATGCATATATGTAAAATGTATCTACTGTATTTCTGTTCCTCTTACTGCAAGTTTATTTGTAACTATGGAATTAGTCATGGGAATGTAACAGTATTAGTGTACTTCATGTAGAGAGCAACCAGTGTTTCATGGGATTCCCTAGTGTTTGCTTTTAACTAGTCTGTTTGGTTTTAATTACTAAAGAAAACCTCATTTAAGATACATTCTTTATCCTAGAAGTGCAGTGAATTGTTAAGAACTTCTCTTCCTCTTCCCATAAGAAGATACTTTTAGACAAAGTGTCATTCAGAATGAAGTATGAAGAATGTCAAATCAGCTGCATGGATGAGACTGCCTCTCTTTGTTTTTATAATGTAACTGAAACTTTTGTGTTAAGTTTTTCTTCTTCTTTTTTTGGAAGGCTGCGTAAAACAGTGGGGAATTATAAATGCAAAACAGTCACTCTGTGGTTTTATGTCTGCCTGTTTTTCAGGTTTTCAAGCCAATGGTTGAAAAGTTCAATTTCACATTTAACTGTGACATAAAGAAGAGGTGAGTTATGGAGGTGTGCGGCAGTGGCAGGGCCCGCCGCCACAGCTGTG